AATATGCGTTTTTGCTGCCTGTTGCAGCGCTCTAGCGCTGCACGGCAAAAACGCATAATCATATAACGCATGTTTTTGGTGTGTGAATGAGATAGAAGAATAACAAAATTTCTAAACAATCAATGCACGAACATAATGAGAGCACAAAGAGAAACACCATCTAATGCCTTCCATCCAATGCATCCAAGTACTTATAATCTATTATTCGCGGAATCAGCGTATGCCTGTAATCCAAACTCATCAGTAATATTTACTCATGGCTTTCCTCAGCAACATTTAGTTCTGTAACGCAAAGAAATCTTATTTTTAGTTTAATTGAAATTCGGTTCCATCCCCCTTCATTTCTCCACTGATAAGTAAACTTTCTTTACAAATGACGGCTAATGGCCGGATTTTTAACTGCTAGCCGATAAAATGCAGCTTTGCATACTCCTTTGGAGTTCTTCAAAACCTAAGAAATGCAATGAAAGAATTCAAGCGCAAACTCAGCCCGAACTTTCGCGCGAAGTTAAAATTTCCTATTTCGTCTGATTCGTGAATCGTTTTCCTGCCGAAATTTTTTCACATTTTCCTTCTTTATTTGATTTTGTGTTTCTGCAACCGCATGTGAGCGAGAAATATCTCGTAAAACTTCAGTTCCCCAAAATCTCCGGTTGCTGAGTGTGGTTCACAAAACATACATACACAGGCACACATATAAACATACGCATAAATATCGACCTCCCATCAGTACCCGTTTTGCATCCATCAAAGATATAAAAACGTAAAAAAAGCAGGATAACGTAGAAAAATAATAAGGTACCAACCTGATAGGCAAAAAGAAGAAGCATACAATTGGAAAAACCATTTCAATAAAAGGATACGGAGAAAATCCGAATGCACAAAGTAATAAAAGCTGCGCAAGCTGACAGGCAGTGAATAGATGCACTTTCCGCTGAGGAACTTTCCTGATGTAATGAGTTGGAGGATACGCTTGCTGCAAAAGCTTTTCCCTAATAATTATGATGCATAGAGCGAGCAGTGAAACAGAATCGTGCATTTTCGTTGCACCGATTTGAAAAAGCACACTGTGAAGACTTTTTGCGCACGTACTTGCATATATATTGGCTTAAAGTTTATTTTAACAAAATTTTAGGAAATAGCACCAAACTGGAATTAAACTGCTAAACAGGAATTTTTTGGCCCTTGAAGTCGATTACAGTCCTGCCGAGCACCTAACTGAGCCTCACCTGTACTTGCACGTGGTGTCCGAGAGCCTGTGTATATGTTATTCGTGCACATGTGTTCGTGTACATGTTTCTGCGTGGAAGTGCATATGTTTAAAATTTATCCACCTTTGTCAATGCATGTTCAGTCCACTAAATTACTGCGTGCTCGGCAATCGGTGCAGTGACTGATTCCGCAAGTAAACAGGGAGGAACTGAAAAAAGCATGCTCATAAGTTGTTGGATTGTTGCCATGACGGTACGCACTATAAATTAGCGAAGTTTTCAAGACCACGTGCTAAAATGAGGTAGAAAGGCGGAGGGATACTGCTTAGTCATGGCTTGTCATGTTAACCGCGAGATTCCAC